ACGCCTCAGCCGTGCCGCATTACAATTAAGAAGGTGCCCGCATCGGCACTCACAAAGATGAACACGAGTGCACCCATGGGCAACCATGAGATTACCTCGAAGGCAACCATAACGCCCATTGCCAGTGGCTGCTACAATTCGTTGCGGCAGCCGCAGCTTCAGTCGTATGCATCGCGGCAGATGCAGTCCTATCAGCTGCAGCACCTTACCTCAATCGAGTCGCAGCCGCGCGACTCACTGGATCTCTTCTTCGACAGCATTTGCTCGACGGTCAAAGGGCTGCCGCCCAAGCTGGCCACCGAGGGGAAAATTCGCGTGATGCAGCTAATTGGGGAGCTGGAGCTGCGTGCGCTGAACGAACGCGATGCATTGCCCGCTGGCTCAACAGTTGATCAGGCGGCAACAGGAGCACTGGCGACACCTTCGCTGGACGCACCTGGAGGCAGTCAGCAGAATGCGACAGTGGCCTCGACCACCAAATGAGGCGTATTCAATGATCACAGTTCAAAGTTCATACTCCTCTCTATCATTAGCAAGAGATTCTGTAGCAAAAATTGTTTATGCTCGTTCACGTTGCTCTGAAGCGGGTATATTGGTTGTGTGCAATGTCCATTTGTCTGAAATTCGGAAATATATATTCCGTATATATATATAGCCTCGCCTATTCTAGTGTTAAGCTTTCACAGTTTTACATCTAAGACTACGATGTTTTGCACAGATCTATAAATTTTATGGAAAATTGTAAAACATCTGGTTGAAGTTTATTTATTTAAATGTATCTATTTTGGGATCGTGAACGAGTATCAGACAGTCGGCAGTATCCGACTGCAGCACTCTTACATGTTGATGAGTTTTAGTGTAAGACCTTACTCCATTCATGAGCATTCTATCTTATCTCTACGTTATCGCCTAGAGATTGATTATTAAACAACAACAAATACAAAGCAAAAACAAAAGACCATTTACAAATATATTAAATAATTATTATTTATCATTAATAAAACAAGTCTGATAAAATGAACGGTTTACACTTAGATGATAACAATAATAATAAATTACGAAGTTACTTAGAATGGGGGCTTGCACTCCATCATGGCCTTTGCGCAATAATGCGGGAACTGTAGGCCCTGCAACAGTATTTCGGCGATACCCTGTATAAAGCATAGAAAAGGCGTGATTAGAAAGGTTTTGCTTTGATTTTTGCGGTTTTTTTTTTTAAATTTATTTTTTTTTTTATGGGTGTGTGGGTGATTTTTGTTTTGTTTTTTATCATAAGACTCGTTGGCTTAGTTCTTGTGAGTAATGAGTAATGGAACAAAAATCTACGAAGCGCGATAAGTGTTTCGCACCCGGCAACTATACTATGTATATGAGTAGTCAGAGATATAATTTATATAATGCACAGTTAGATGATATCATTGTTAGTTAGCACAAATATATACATGTGTATGTCCTTACCGATAAACCCGGAAAGCACACAACCATTGAATAGACTATGATGTAGCAGAACGAACAGAGGCAGGCGACGGCCAAGGCGATGATCCAGAAGACCAAAAGCCAGAATATAAACCAAACTGGGTTGCCCATCGTGAAGCGAGTATAAAAGATCTACTTGTCCAGATAAGTAATATGAAATGAAAGGGGAAAAATGAATCAGATAAGAGATGAAAGAGAATCATTCAAGGCAGAAGTTTCAGTTTCAGATGCAAAGGAATGGTATGATATGATATGATATATAAGTAAACTATTCATACTGGTTATACTATAATTCTTATCTGCTACTGTTCTTTAATATATAAAAATTAAAAAGTAATAATATATATTATAATTTTTATAGACCAATTTCTCTGATTCAAATCTAACTTTCAATAAGATAGATAAGAAAATTCGCTGATAATCCTCTTCTATATTTGTATATGTACCTATATAAGCTCCATATCTGCATACATATATATATATATATATATACCGAAAGTGATTTCAACTGTTATTTAATTAAAAATTTTACTTTTTGCTAGAGAATTTGGCTTTGAATACTGCGTGACAAACAGTCGAGCAACCGATTTGGTGTTGTTGACGTAAATAGATATGACGATATATGTATCTATACAGCTATGTTTGTAAACCGAGGTAAGGCTGCGCGAGTGTAATATGCACAATCTACTATGTCATCAAGCGTCTGACGCATACTCTACGAAAATTTAAAAGAAGGAGACAACTCCCATTTCAAAATTGAAGACTATTTAATGAAGTTAAATTAAATATATTTAGTCTTGATACAACTACTGAAAAGTTTCTGGTCTGAAGATTTTCTTCCAGTAGAATCCATTCAAATGTTTTTCTTTGTTTTTTTTTTTTTTTTTTTTTTTCTGGTTACGATCTTCAGTTGAAGATTATGCAAATTATCTTAGGCGTGCCCGCATACCAAATAAACAATTTTGTTTTTAATGTTAATTTAGCATTTCTGTTAGCCATGTTTACTAATCCAACATTGTAGAATGCGTGTTGCATTTATAAATACATTTTATTCTTTTTTTGATTTTTTTCATGCGCGCCTACGCCAAGTAATGCATAGGAAGGTAAATAATAACAACAGACCCACCTTGTGGAGCGCGAGAGAGGTGGAGAGAGCGCGAGTGTGCGGGGACTGTGCGACGTGCGAATGGTACGAGATGCAGGCGGCAACTAAAACAAAACTGGCGCAACAAGTTATAAAAAAGTGGTTGCCAGGGTTGCCAGGCGTTTGATAATGCAAAAGCTTGCATGTGCCCAAGAGTATGCTAAGCTTCTGTGAAAGCTTGCGACTAAACAGTAAACAGTAAATGCAGCGCAGCTGGAGTTAGCAACAGTTCGATGGGAATTTAGAAGATGAATTGATACCAATGGACCTGAAACTCTTGAATTAATTTAACGAATATTTAATGTCCACAAAAATGTATTACAGTATCATAAATATATTCAATTTAATTTAATGCCCATTAACAGATAAGAATTAGATACAGTTCGTTATCTAAACGTATACACCATACAGCGGAGCACTTCAGTTTACTGTGTCTGCTTAGCGCACAGCTTGCAAATTGTGTTCAGCATTCGCGCACAGGCAAAAGCACACAACCAGCTGCAAGCTGCAAAACTGTTATACGCCATATTTTTAGAAGAAGGCTAAGCTTTTGCACACAGCTGAAGCCGAAAGCTTTGCGCCTAATGTTTTCATAACAGTTGTTTTTCGTCTCTTCTTTTATTTTACTTCTTTTCTTTGTTCCAGTCCCCCGAGCTGTTGTTGTTGCTGTTGCTGTTGTTGTAGCCGTATCCCGCGGATGTCGACGCCGATTTGCAGCTGTTGTTTTGGACCGTTACTGGCGCCGCAGTCGCAGTCGCCGACAACTGCGATTTCAGCGCTCGTCATTCTGTCGTGAGTCGTCGTCCACGTCTCTTGTGTTGTGTGTGCGGCATTTGTGTGTAAGAGAAATATTTTGTTGATTCGATACTCGATAGAACAGGCCAATAAAACTATAAACCTATTATATCGAAGAGGCGCAATATCCAAAATTAGCCGTTATTTAATAATTCTGTTTTATCAGCAGCCCAATTGGTGTCATTTAAATCAACAGCTGATTACCGAAATTCCAAATTATGTAGCATAAAGTAGCGGTAAAAAAAAAAAAAAATCAGCTGCAAACGTTTTGCAATTGTGTTTGTGTTTGTAAAAGCAAAGGTTACAAATCCTGTGAGAGTGTTTGTGTGAGTGTGTTTGTGTGTGTGCCGTTACTTGTGTAAGCGTGTGTTTGTAATAAATCCGGACAACGTGCGATCGATTTTTGGGGGCCTTACAGTGGTAACAACACACTCGAAATATGCACAAACTAGAAATATAGTCAATGATGCAGGCGATGAGGATATCAGTGAATGTATTAGCATAGCATATGTAAATGTTTACGCGCATTCAAGGATGCGTATGTGTGTGCATGTTGGCTATAAAGCTTTGATAACATTTAGTCAAGTTACAACAGAATTATTGCCATTGGTTGGTGCTCCAACTCAGTCTTTTCGGTTCCCTTTCACTCGCCCCCTCTCTGCAAGACGAAGTAAACGTAAAATGCTCGACAAATAAATAAACAAACGGCCACTAGAGATAATGAAATTTTGTTAGGCACAAAGTGAGAGAGCGAAAGAGAGAGAGAGTGAGAGAGAGCGCGTGCAAAGAAGATAGCAACAACAATAGCCACAACAGCAGCAAAAGCCGCAAAATTTGAGGGGCAAAGTGCTGAGCGGCGGCACCGACTGCCAAAAGTTGCCAACAAAAACAAACAACAAACACAAAGAGAGCATGCGAAAAAAAGCTTCTTGGGCATAATACAGAAAGGCGTAGCGATGGAGACGGAAACAGCGCAACGACTTGCCGTATAACAGTTGCGAGCAGAGCATTGCAGACCAAGACCTAGTGCCAGAGTAACGCCACCGTCGCTCCTAATAAGCGTGAACGATGATTATGGCCAGTCAGTCAAGCAGGCACTGTGTACAGTGGGGCAATGCAGTGAAATGCAGTTCAACTTAAAAATGATGAATTTGTAAAATGAAATTTAAGAAGGAATGAAAATTAAAATATTAGGTATAGTTATATAGGTGCAGATATATACAATTTTCGCGTCGTTATAGTTGCCTTATATACTTAAATCAATTTTTCCAGTTTCAAGTTAATTATAATTTAAATATAACAAATTGTTTTTGTCATTAAATATGAACATCCTTATTAATTAATTTTTTTCAAATAAAAAAAAAAAAAAAAAATCTTATAAAATTAATTTGCCTGAAGAGAAAGTAACTTTGTCCCACAATGCAGGGCTCGCTGCCTGTGTTGAACGAGTCGCACGAGAGCGAAAGCGAACGAGAGCCGAAAGAGCGAAAAGCCGAGCGCAGGCAGGTCGCATAGTCCGTATGTTTTGTAGCACAGTTTAAAGTACGCATTGCGATGGTTTTTCACTTCAGTTTAGCTAGAGACATCGTCGTGTAATGAACAGAAGCTCTGCGAGCAACTGCTAGCCCAGCGGCGAATCGACGACAGATTTCAGTGCGCAAAAAAAAAAAAAAAAAAAAAAAAAAAAAAGGAATAAAAACAATACACAAGTAAATTGCAGTGTATATCAAAACACACACATACACTGACACACACGGACTTCTCGTTTGTGTGGAATACAAAGTTGAGGTGTCACTAAATTTTAATCGAATAACGGTGTAATAATTAAACAAAAAACAACAAATTTTTACAGCAGGAAAACGCATAAAATACAAATAAATAAATATAATCAAAATTAATAAATAAATGAAAATACTTAAATAGTGACATGTGACATGTGAGTGAGTAAAAGAGACACACACAGAGTAAGAGCGAGAGAGAAAACCTTGAGATCTAAGTTAGTACGCAACGCACAAAAGCTCAAGGTAAGTAAATCTTTTGTATGGGATGGATGTTATCGACTTAAAGCTGCTCTGTTGCCGCTGCCTAACAAGTGGGGGCATCGCTGGAGATGCCATAAATGGGAGAGAGAGAGAGTGAGAAAGAGAGAGGGAGAGAAAGAGAGCGGCTTATTGTGTTGCCGATTTTTTGCATTTAACGATTTTTGATGGGTTCCTTGATCCGTAAAGTCTTTAGCAATTTGCAGCAAACACACGCTCACACAGATGCTTACACACACATCGACACGCACACACACACACGCATACACAGGAGAGAAATGGGAGGCAGGTGAAAGTGTCCTACAAATTCATAATTTGGCTGTTTATATACACATTGATGTATATGTAAGGCACACATACACATATACACACACACATATTGTGGAGTCTGCATGTATTGCTGGTTTATCGAGTGGCAGCCGCGATGGCTGCCTCAATGTCTGCCCGCTTGTGCTACCTGTCGAGAAAAACAGGAAAAGCGACAAAAAAAAAAAAAAAATCATCCACAGCAGCGAAAGTGAAATTTCGTATAGACATACACAAGCACAGTTATGTATATATATACCTGCATCTGTGTAGGTATATGTGTGTGTCTGTGTGTTTTTTTTTTGGCACGTAGGCTCCATAACTTCCGCTCGGGCGACTCTCGCGCACACACCTGTACTCAGACGCAGTAATACACTGCCACTCACACAAACACACACACTCTCGCATACTTTGACAGCGCGCAACATTTGAAATTCTGATGAAAAGACATTTTTTTATTCAGGCTAAAGTACACATTAGGTAGCTGCTGCTCTTCTTGCTTCTTCTTGCGCTGCTTACCTTTTCATCAGCGGGAAATCATTTTATTTTATTTTCCTTTTTTAGTTAAATTTGTTTACATTTTTTGTCGTTTATAGACCCTAGCATTGGTGTATTTGGTATATTATGTTGAATTTTCATGTAAGTAAAGTAGTGAAATAGAGAGAGAAACAAGAGAGATAGAAAAAGAGAATGAGAGAGAGAGAGAGAGAGAGAGAGAGAGAGAGAAAAAACTAGATTGAGAGGAAGGCAGAATAAGAAAATGAAAAAGAGAGGGAGAAAGAAGAAGCAAGAAAAACAGAGATCCTAAGGAGCGGAAAACACAAGAGCAACAGTGAGAGGTAGAGAGACAAAGAGAGTGATATAGATATAGGCGCATAGTGAATTGCAGAGAATGACTGAGAGAGGGGGAGATATATATATAGAAAAAGAAAAGACAGAAAAAGGGCCTTCAAAAGAAAGAGAAAGAAAAGTATAAAGTAAGATATAGATGATTATATAGCTTCATATCGTACCTCAATGATCTCAATAAAAGTATTATTTTTACACATATATTTCATATTATTAAAGTCACTTAAAAGTAAAAGTTCTCATTTTGAAAGTGTATGTCATCTATCGTATATTCTCGTTGTTTAAAATTTAATTTATTTGTTTTTATTTTGTCATTGGGGCAAAAAAAAAAAAAAAAAAAAACACACACAAATTTCGTTTAATTCAACTGTCGATTTATCACACTTAAAGCAACAACAATCATGACTATAACTAAGTATAACTATCCTATCACATCATATCATCATGATTATCACGCTGCTTATGATGATGATGATGATGATGATGATGTTGATGATGATGGTAATCGCTGCTCAGTTACCCAGCCTCATGCGCTTGCGTGTGGAATTTGGTTTGTTTCCACTTAGCTCTATTTCGTATAGTTCTATTTTATTCTATTCTATTCTGTTCTGCGGTGCTCCAACTGCAATCAGGGGGTTTATTTATATGGCATGGAATGGCCATAGAATGGCCACAGATGCACACATCTGGCCAAACGCAATTCCGTCGATGTGGTCATTCATTCAGTGCGGAGACTGCATTTTAGATTGAGATTTATATGGATTTATGTGTGTGCTTGCAGCAACAAAAGCCAAAAATGATAAGTGAGTGGGAGTGCTCGACTAGGAGATACTCTTTCTTAGCTGGTGAATATGTAGTGAGCCATGGACAAATATGGCTGTGATGCATTGAGTAGACAATATGAGAATCTATGTAGTTACAGTCCTTTGACTCTAGCTCCCCAAATAGTGCTCCATAACTGAAGAGTTTAATCGATATTTATTGATATCATGGAAGCAAACAAGTTATAAATGAAGCAAATCCCTGCCAAGTACCAGATGCGTGGACAACCGGACTGACATATGAGTGTTACCTTTCTGTATCCACGACATCGATAAATATCGATAACATACTTCAGTTTAAATCCTAGCTTGTCTCATATATATATGATTTCGCTTACCTCTTATCCTGCCTGCTACATAAACTTAATACGCAATCGACCCTCGCATTCAATGCGTAGGGTATATCTAAAAAAAAATAGTAATAAATAAAATTATAATAAAAACATGTTGGATTTTCCTAAATGAATTTTAGCTTTTGCTTGCTTCGTTTGCTGCGCTTGTTTGATTTTCGTGGCATTTTCAACAGCATTTAAAAATAATTTGATTTGTTTATATAACCAAAGAGACGCACTCAACGCGTTTAAGCGAGGCAACAAAAATTTCATAAAGTTGGATTTATGTATCATAAACACACATTTTTAGAGAACTAAATAAATTTACTTACATTCAGAAATTGGAGAGAAATATTTGTATATAGCAAAGAATTTTTGTTTAATTAAAATTTGTATATGGGATATAAAAGTAAATTATGAATATTCTGAAAATAGAGAGAATTGTGAAAATTAGAGAAATAATAAGTCTGTTAAAAATAAAATATTTTTATAATTTATCTCTCAGAGGATTTACAATTGCCATCGTAATGAATATTATATCTCAATATAACATTAAAAAAAAAGAAACCCAATTTTATTTGTTTTTATTCAATTTTCCTGCATCTAAATAAGATAAATATCTTTAGGCTATTATAATTTACACTTTAATTGAATTTAAAGTAAATAAAGCTGGCTCGAGTTGAGTTTGCTCAAATACTGCGACGAGTTAAGCGGCAATTCAGGCTGGAATTGGGATTGGAATTGAGATTGGAATTGGAATTGGAATTGCAGTCGTGGTCGACTTCCGCTTGGCAGCGGCTCATCATGTCAGTCAGAGAAGTTCGTGACCACAGAAATTCCCCCGGGCGCACAATGCAGTTGTGTTCATTTGTTGCAACATGCCACAGTTATCCCGCCCCCTCGCCCGCCCCCAACACACACACACAGACACAAAGACACACAATGCATGGAAATGCGTGCGGACGCAGACAAATCATTTGTGCACAAATTAAGCGGAGATTTGCACCGGACTCTGGCTGTCTCTTTGACTCTGTGTGTGTGTGCATGTGTGTGTGTGTCAGCTAGATATAGCTGCTTTATGGTATATATAACATGCGCCTCCTGTCGCCCCTAATGCACTCAACTGAACTATCCGAATTGCATGTCGCTTCACATATTTAATTGAATCAATTGTCCAAATATTAACTCACAATGGAGAACTGAAGCGTGGGAGCATTTCTGGTACTACAGATCACACTCGCCTGTGCTCTCTCTCTCTCTTTCTCACTCTCTCTCACTGGTTGTTGAGGCATTTTGTTCAATGCCAATGCAAAAGTAAAGCGCACAAAGGCCCACGACTTAAGGCTTATGGCATGAAACACTTGAGAATTGCTTTGCACTTTTATGTTTGTTTGGCCAGAGCTTTTCCATTTCCTACTCGCTGTTCACACAATTTTCTTTATTGTTGTTGTTGTTGCTGGCAAAATTTATTTGCGCTTGCTTCACTTCGCGTTTGGCTCGAATTTATTTCATATATATATATATATATATATATATACATATATATATATGGAAGAAGCAGAAAACTTTCTTTGCAACGCTTTTCCTCTGGGGCTCGGATTTGAGCCACGGCGCTGTTGGATTTGTCCATTTGGCTGGCGTGTTCTGAAATCGAGCGGCACATAAAATTCATATTTGCCATAAAAATATGCAAATAAAATGTTATTAAACAATGCGAAGGACAAAAGAGCAGGCAAACCAAGCAACAGAAGTAAAGGAAGTACAAAGAAACAAGTAAGAAGGCTCCAGTCGAGACTGCTCGACTAGGAGATACCCTGAACCCTCCAAGCTGATATTCTAATCATTCTGGACTTCTTTTATTCATACATACATACACATGCACTTATAAGCACGCGCTCTGCTAACTGCGCAGTAAGCAGCGACTGCGCTGGGGCTGCGCTGCAATGTGGGCAATATTATGAGAATTTATTTGTTGAATAATTTCTTTTGTAGACGTATGATCTTAATGAAACTTTTAGAGCGTAATCATATGGCTAAAATTCCAAAGCACAAGTCTCTAGTACTTGAAATGCGTTTTTTACAAATTGGGGGCGAATGGGGCGTGGTATCCAAAATCTGTAAATTACAAAATCTTTGTATCCATTAACTTTATATACAACGCAAATTTGAAGTCTCTAGGTCTAAAAGTGTTCAAATTAGGCTGAAAAAACAAAGTCGATTTTTCGATTATTCTCGATAAAAAAGTTATCGGATGAGTTATCGAAAAAATAAAGCAAACTCGTACTGCCTATGGTATACACGAGTATGCATGCCAAATTTCAGCTCTCTAGCTCTTATATCTTCTGAGATCCTTTTGCTCATACGGACGGACGGACGGACGGACGGACGGACGGACGGAGGGACGGACGGACGGACGGACGGACAGACGGACAGGGCTATATCGACTCAGCTCGTCGTCCTGATCAAGAATATATATACTTTATGGGGTCTGCGATGATTCCTTCTGCCTGTTACATACTTTTCACAAAACCATTATACCCTGATTTCCCATTTTCAATGGGTTCAGGGTATAAAAAGAGACACAAGACGAAGAAGTAGAGCAAGCAGAAAAGAACAGATCCTTCGACAGTTGGCGTAGCATTAAAACGCAATTTTATTGCATGTCCTTGGGGGGCAT